ACAGGCAGGGGTACGGGCAGAAGATTTCCGGACGGGACCAGTGAAGAAGAAGATGATGTGAGGGTGGGGACTTGGGTGGAAATTGGATCTGCTGACCACAGGTCGATCAGGTCGATCAGCAAACAATGCCAAGTATTTGAATGTTTGAGCAGGAAGCTCATTGACCGCTGATTAAACGGCAACCAATCAGCTTGTGCTATGTAGATAACGACATGATTGCTACCAATAAGTTAGAGGCATATCAGCCTGAACCATTCAGAGTTTCATGCCAGAACTATGTAATAATCTAAGTTTACATTACAATACTACCATTGTCTCAAATTCTTCACTTCACCAAGCTTTTATTTTGGCAGATACTGGTGAAATGCTGTAAAACTTAGAAGTTTATGTGATATTGGAGATTATGTGATATGTAGGCCTAATATATGTAAATAAAGTAAACCCCAGTGCATGTTGTGTTCTCCAATGCATGCTAGCCCTGCTGAGATCAGAGAATTTACTGTAAACCGAGTAGCTTTGAGATGCTGAAAGCTGGATTATAACACAGTGCTACGCTTCACTCTGAAACACGCAGCACATCAGACTATACAGGTTTTTTTTGTATTAGTATTATTAAATTGCAACCTTTGATTTAATAATCTCACTAAAGCCCTATTCGGACAGGATTAGTTTTACAAGGGTAGATGGAGTAATGTAATTTTACCACAGAACGTCTTTAATAATAATGGCCAATTCACACAGGATAAGAAATCTCAGTAAAACCCGCAGAAGTGGGAGGGGTAACTCGATTTATGCCCTGCCGTCACCTTCCTGTTGTTATGTGCGAATTACGTTGCTTCCTGATATCATGTGCGCAAACACATATAACCTACATTTATATATATAAAACATGCATGAAAATAAACTCATAAAAGGTCCGGTCGAACACAGTATTCATTAAATTCAGAATGGATTATGTTGGTAACGGGAATAGGCACGCGCTAAAAGAAGTTTCATGCCTCTAACAAGTGCTTTCAACCTTCTTTTTGATCTGAATGGTTTGTGGAAAACTCTTGAGTTTTGTCACAGACTTGTCCCACCACCTAGAACGCAACTGAATGCTTTTTCAAGCGCCTCCATACTTGAAAAACTGCGGAAAACTACTTTTAAACAGGAAATCAGGGAATAATTACGTACATATTTACAGCGGGGCTATTCGCACGGGATTAGTATTAGGCTACCTGAGGTCATTTTTCCGGACCTTTTTACAGAAGGTAAATGTCGCTGGAATCTTTACTGACATTGTCCGTAATGATTACCGAGATGGCACATTCGGATGAGACTAAAATCACTGAGAAGCTGGTAATAATTACTTCACCACACCACTCCATGTTAAACTAATCCCGTTCGAATAGGGCTTAAGCTATATTGTGGTTATCGTGTGCCGATCTCACTGGGATCATTTTGTACAGTCTGACAAGCAACAATCACAAAGGACCTTAAAAATCATACAGTTTACTGTACAACTGGCTTTCATACAGTGTACTATACAACTGGCTTTAGACTAGGTTCTGGCTTCAATAAACAACCGAAAATAGGATGAAAAACAAACTGAAAACAACCTACAATAACAGTCATGACAGGCTGACACTGCATTGTAGATTTCATTCTAAAACAAGCAAGTATGTTGATGTGAATTAGTGACATTTTAAATGACATTTCACAGAACTAATCCTCCATTCACCTGCTCTATCCAGATGGTCTGCAAGAGAGAGAGAGAGAGAGAAACAAAGAGAGCGAGCACCTTGGCACTTCTAGTCAACCTTGTGACGAAAGTGCAAAGATGGCAACTTCTTTCAGGCAGATGTAAAGCTCAAAGGCTTCAGGATAAGTCTGGCAGAGTAGCTACAGTCTGGAACACAAAGAGCAGCCTCAGTGAACATGGCACACGCTGTCAAATGGACTAGACTCAGCAAAAGTATGACACATCCACACTAGATCCACTGACAGGAGCGAGGCAGCCAGAGGATAAATTTATTCAGACAAACCACACACAATCAGGCAGTTCCAGGTGGATAGAGAGAATAATACAGAACATTGTGAAATAGATTTACACGTCTGTCTGTTTGTCTATTAAAAAAAAAAAAAACCTGAACAAAGCTTCGTAATCAAAAATAGTTAGACTTGAACCTCCATATGAAACAAGCATGACTCCTTTGAAATGTCATGTTTGAAATAGGCAAAATGAGCAGTGCTGTAATGTTTACGAAGCACCCAAATGACATAGGATATAGCCATTACACAAACTGAAGTAAAAATTGTGTAAAGTAAATCTGTGGTCGGAAAGTTTTTATTTCTCTAATTCTCTAATGCTCACCATAACTGTTTTCTATTTTAATACATTTTAAGATGTTAATTATTCATGGCAAAGCTGAATTTTCAGCATGAGTTCAGTGTCACATTATCCTTTAGAAATCATTCTAATATGCTGATTTGCTGCTCAAGAAACTTTTTTTTTTTTGTATAGTATCAATGTTGAAAGCATGCCGTTTAATTTTGTGTGAGAGTTCAAAAGAACAGCATTTATTTGGAATATAAATATTTTGTAACATTACAAATGTCTTTATACACTTTTGATCAATTTATTGCGTTGCTGAATAAAGGGTATTAATTTTCTTTTCTTTTTTAAAAAGAGACTAGCTGACCTAGATATAGCCTACATCATTTTTTATAATGGTTGATGTCATAACAATAATAAAAGTAAAACATTAGTAATATCTACTATTTTAAGTTAAAAATCGTAATTATATACAATGCTATACAAAAGTGACAAAACTCAGGCAAAGTAAATTCAACCGACCATCCCCTCCACAGCTCATCTCAACTGCTCTCATCTTTCCCTTCCCTCTCTTGTTGTCATTGGGTAGATGACGCGCATTCACTTTTCCGTCTTCGCTGGGGGATGTTAGCAAACGGATTCACATTCGACCTAAGAGGATAATTTACGACTTTAAACTAGCGGTGAGAAAGCTTTGTTACGTCTGCGTTATTTGGTTTAACAGTTTGCATTGTATCTTTGAATACCATTCGGCTATTGCCGATATCACGGTTGTTATATTTTGTGCTCCGTCTTGAGACTCTGAAGCCTCGGTGTTTCCTGTGTCGTCTGACCGCTTTTGGCAAGCTAGACGGCAGCTATATCATGCGGCCTACTATCGCTGTAGCTTCGTGCTTCTCCTGTACAGAGATGAATGAATAAGCGAAGCATGCTTCTTCTTTTCTATTTGCTTATTACTTAAATAACCAATTCCATGTCTTTCTCGTTTTTTCAGTTGTGAGAGTTTTGTCACTATTATTTGGTCGGATGTTTCTAACTAAACTTATTTATTTTCAGGTGTAACTAAGTAAATAATGGCTCCTCAACCCGTCATCCGATCAAGACAAATGGAAAAAGCAATAAACGGAATACCAACTCAAGTTGTCTGCACGGAATTCAGCAACTACATTTTTATAGTTCTGACACAGTATGGTAAAATTGGGACACTTGTGTCGATAACACCTGACACAAGGTCTGGTGACATCAGTGTACCCATGTTCACAACTAGAGTACTGCTGGGAAAGGATGAGGTATGTTTTAAAGTATGTATTTGTTGGATAATCAATATGGCTGATAAAATCATCTTTGTATTTCACCATGAGCTTTTTATCTCTTTTGCAGCCTCTTACACACGTCTATGCCAAGAATGTCACAACGTTTGTCTCACAGGAATCAGGCAACCGACCGGTTCTGTTGGGCCTTTCACTTAAAGACAACAGTGCTGAAACCATGAAAACTGTTAAAGATATGATCAAAGGCTGTCAAGTTTGGTGAAAAGGTTGCTAAACGGCAAACGCACTAGAGAAGGACAAATTACGTATCTGGAATTTCAACAACAAAAAAAGCCACATGGCTTGTCTTCTGTGAATTTAGACATACCCAAGATACCTGTGCAGACAATCTTAGTTGCAATCTGTTGCTACTTCACAAAGCTTAAATTGCTTGAATTTTTTAAAGTTAAACCAGAGTACTGTTCAAGATCATTACTTTTTGCTTCTGTATAATGGATGTCTTTCAGCTGTCAAAGATTAAAAGTTATATTTTCTTACCTTGAATTTTTTTGGTGATGTTTAAATGTCTCGCACCAATCCCAAGGCCTTTGAAAAGGGACCTGGTTAAACACCTGCACCATTCGCATCACATGAACTGTCTGCCAAACCATTATAGACTGCAAAAGTGTCCGCCCACTTTTTTACCAGCCTTATAGTTCTGGAAGTTTTTCTTTTTGTTTAGTCTTTGTTCAAGAGCTATAGGCCATGAACCAAACCAACCAGCTATGATGTGAATCACAACATTAAAAACTTTGATTTGAATCAAACAAGTATTTGAAAATCAGACAAAAAGACAGAGGTACAAGACTACTTAGCTTCTTCAATGAGAGAAATAACTACAATCCCATGAAGCATTGTGAACGATATAATCAATACAACAATAATGGAGAATTATAAATATTTATTTAAAGATATAGAAATATACTTTAAGTTTATTGTTTAATGCAAAGATAAACTTGACTCAATTATGTCATGTGCAGTGCTTCATGGGGGTTAGTATAATAGTAATATATTTTATTTTTGGGGAATACATTTTGAATTTATTTTTTGGTTTAATTATGGGAGCATTTTGACCCCACACAAAAACATTGCTGACATTTACACTTAACTGGAGGGTTAAGGTGATCTGAGGCTCCTTTAAAATATCACAGTGCCCTAGTTTACCTGAATTAATCCTATATTATTTCTATCAGTATTCACAGTTATTTTTTCTAAGGTACTTGATTATTTTTTGAGCTCTATAATAAATTCAAGTTTATTAATTGAGATTGCACGTGTGCAGTAGGAATAGTCTACCTTTGACCAACAGGTGCTGGTCTCTGCCTGTCATGTCACGTGACCGAAGACAAGTCGCAAGCCAAGGTCACATGACCTGGGTGTGCTGTTGTGTCGCGAAGTACGTACACCTGCTGAGACGGAACAACAAGCTTGTTGGCGTGGAATTGGGAAAAGGCTTTAGGAAAAGTGCCGTGTATACTTTTCTTTGCTTCGGGATTTGTATCACAATCAATTAGATTCCCGTCGCGGCTGTTTTCACCGAGTTGAATGAGTTCCGTCAGACCTGTCAATAGTTAAACGAGGAAGTGCGCGCTTGACTCATCGGTGTCGTCGCGCGGGCCGTGTGTCTAGTGTCTACTATGGCTACATGTCGCATATTGATCTTTCTTTAAGCACTGATGTATACAATGCATTTATTATTTTAGGCACCCTACGATGGTCAGAGTTAAGTGACGTTTAGGATAAAGTGATTTGAGTTTGATCGCACTGAACTTCTCACAGGTGTTGACAGTATCAAGGTAAGTGTTTCATAAATACCTATAACTCGTCTTGCCTTGTGTTACAATAGGTTTGATTTAAATGATTGATACATGGACAGATTTTCTATCTCTTATGTCTTAGTTTAAAAAATGCTACCAAACATAATGCTGTAAGGTAAGAAACATATGCTGTAAGTTAACTCTGACGCTCCATTTACGTAATGAAAAATCAACATGTAAACCATAGTTTCCGACAGAATATCATGGTAAATGCTGTTGGTAACCATGAAACCATAATAAATTGATAGGCTATGAGGCCTTCTTTAAAAAACGCTTTTTTTTGTTGTTGTTTTTGGTGAAAGGTAACACTGTTTAATTTAGTATGAAAATAGTAGTCTTGGTTTCCCTGGTAAATGTTTGTTAATTAAACTATATACCCTACATTGTTCGTCTTTGTCATTGGAATAGAAATAGTGCAATCTATAAATATAGATGTGTTATATTTCATGTAAAGAATAAGCATAGTTTAAATGGAGTCAGTAGAATTTCTATTTAAAAAAAAGAAATTAATACTTTTATTCGGCAAGGATGAAGTAAATTAATTAAAAGTGACAGAAAAAAAAACATTTATAATGTTAATAAATATTTATGTTACAAATAAATGATTTTTTTAAAAACCTTAAATAAAATGTAGCACAGTTTCCACAAAAATATTGTTGTTGCTGTTTTCAACATTGATAATAAGAAATATTTCTTTAGCAGCAAGTCGTAATATTAGAGTGATTTCAGCTTTGACAGCGCAGAAATAAATTACATTTTAAAATATACTGAAGTGTATTGTATTTGTAATTCAAATAAATGCAGCCTTGTTGAGCAAGCATAAGAGACTTCATTAAAAAACAGTAAAAAAAAATATCGTAATGACCTCAATTTTGTTCGGTAGTTTATGAGAAAGTTGTAAATTAAAGATAAAAGAAATATTTATAACTAATGTAATATCAATTAGTTTTAATTAAATCTTTTTAAAAAAAAGGATTTTTTTCTTTTTTCCCCCACAGATGAATGAGTCCAGAACTACTACAGCTACTTTCAGCACTCTGTCAGTGGGTTCAGATAAAAACATGGATAATTCAGTCCCTTTGTCATCATACTCAATCCTGTCAAATATAACTGGCATGTCTAACATGACCGTGATCAGGACAAGTAATGGAACTGAAGTAGTGGGGGACGACAAGATCTTCCTCAACACCCCCATTGCTCAAGCCTTGTCCGGCATTTTCGTTTGGTCCGCACTCATCATCACCTGTCATCAGGTAGGCTAATTTACAGGAACTAAATGTTTATAATGTGTTTGAAGACAATTCATAGAAATCCTTTTACAGCCAACCACACACACATCTAGCACAATTTCCGAGGCCATGGAGCTGCTTATTTAGCAACAGAAATGCATTGCTGCTGCTTTTAAACCAGTACGAGGTATAGCCAGTATGTGGCATGAGGTGAGGAGCAAATCTCAGCATTAAATGGAGTGGCCCAGGGAAAGCTGGAGACACTAATAGCAGTGGTTCATTCAGAGCACACGCAAATAAAAGCAAATAACCTAGGCGGGGAAAACAAAAGCTGTTCCACAACGTCTCCTCCCTCATACCTGACCTCAGGCTCATTATCATCTGCAGATCTTGATAATACTATGTCACTTTAAAAGGTTAATCTCTGTTACACAGTCATTAAAAACTACAGCAATAACTAATCCTCCACTCCCTGCCTCCACCGCTTATCGATTATCAGAGATCAATAAATGCCTACCTGTTTGTTCTGAACAGTCATCCATGTTTTCTTTGCTCTAATGCAGTGTTGGGCAAGTTACTTTTAAAAAGTAATTAGTTACAGTTACTAGTTACTACTTCCAAAAAGTAACTAAATTAGTAACTCAGTTACAAATTTTAAAAGTAACTAGTTACTTAAGAAAGTAACTATTGCGTTACTTTCAAGTAAAATTAAATTTTAAATGCTCAAATGTGACCCCACCTCTACCCCTCTTTAACGGAACTTAAAATACATGTGCATGTTCAATTATTTATGATAAATCTGAATATTATAATGAAATGGACACTTGACTTAATACAATACATTATTAACAGAAACATGAAACATTGTACACACATCTAAAAAAAAATGTTGCTGTGCTGTGTGACAAAGTGAGACTAGCCTCCAATCAAATGCCATGTATGTAGATATTATGTTTATATAGTGGATCAATGCAAATAACACAATAGATGTTTTGGAACTTTTGATATTTATTGCCCCTCAACAGGCCACAACTGGGCAAAATTAAATTAAGCTTGTTAAGCAATATACCAAAAAGAAATAATATATACACTCTTTGTCGTGCAAATAAAACAACAACAAAAAATTACTGAAAAAATGCTGTACTTCAAGTAGAACAGTGTAACAATATTAGGTGCTTTCAATGTAACTGGAAAGTGCAATGTATAGCAAAACGAAGGATATACATACGTTCCTTTAATTTATTGAAGGAAAAAGTAATGTATATAACGTTAGAGACGGCTACTTTTGGATTATTTGGGCTCGTCGCCATACCTGTCTCTCGTTGACTGACTGGCTTGTGTTGTTCCTTGTGTGTCCTGTCCTGTCCGACTATGCGTTATGATGGGTCGTTCGCAATTCATGAGCGTTAGCCGTTAGTGATGATGGGTCGTTCGCGAATGAGCGTTAGTGATGATGGATCGACTCGTTCGCGAATGAGCTTTTGATGGGTCGTCCGCGATTCGCGAATGAGCCGGCTCTTTTAGGTGAACGTCGGGAGCTGGCTCGCATATCTGAAGAGCCGACTCTATTTTTACAAATTTAGCCTATAGAAATTAAATAATTATGTAATAAAAATTGAAATATTATAGTCAAAGTCATTTAAAGAGCCGTTTGTGAGCCAAAAGAGCCGGCTCTTTTCAGTGAGCTGAGTCAAAAGAGCCGAATGCCCATCACTACTATGCGTGCTTTCGAACACCCGCCCAACTCTACCTCTGATTGGCTTACAATGACATTTTACTCCACCTCAGCCAATCGTCAGCATTTATGCGCTTGTCTCGTGCTCTGCCCACTAACCAAGGAAGAACAGTAAAAAAAAGTATTTGCCTCTCGCTCAGAGATCTAGTTGGTCTGACGATGAAAAAACAGCTTCATCAGTTATAGTAACGCGCCGCATTTTTTTGGCAGTAACGGTAACGGCGTTATTAAGATGAGAAGAGTAATCAATTAGATTACTCGTTACTGGAAAAAGTAATGCCGTTAGTAACGGCGTTATTTATAACGCCGTTATTCCCATCACTGCTCTAATGTTCCGTTTAGAGCACTGTTAGCCGTCCTTGACCAATCACTTTTGACTACAGAGCGGAGTGGTCCCTGTTCCCAGAGCTGATAAGAGTGCTGTGTAAACACAGAAATATGGCTATAGTGTACTCTGGTGATCTAATGCGAGGATACCGTAACCAGTAATACATGTGCCATCTGCAATGTGCACTTTAGAAACAGAGACAATAATTTCCATTAAAAAAGTTCCTATGACAATATCTTTCTCAGGCTTGTGTGTGTGTGTTGTGTGTGTTAGTGCATGGCACTATTTCAAGTGGTCGTTTGTGTTTTTTTTATAGCCATTGTAGTTTAGATATAAATCTGTTGGCTCTGTCTTATACCCTAACAGTAAAACATTTGGATACAACTGACTTGTTTGGTAACGATTAAGAAATATATATTTATATATAATGTACACACACACAACTGTATATTATATATAATTAATATGTATTTTTTGATACATTACCTTTTGTTAACACAAATGTAAATTAGCTGTTTAAAAAGCATCCAAGTTGGATACCATGAAGTTGGTTGAGAAAATGTGGGCAAAGGATGGCTATTTTCGTGTTATCTGTTTGATTTTCATAGTTTTATTTCTAAAAGAGCTTTTTTTCTAAAATGTGGAAAACAGTCAGATTAAAGTGAGTAGGTGCGTCCAAACATTTGACTGGTAGTATACTTTCACTAGTTTAAAGCAGAAACTACAGTGAGAGCAATATTTGTGTGCCCAGCCTTTGTTTATAGAGGAAGTTCTTTTGTGTTTGATGAAAGACCATCATTCACTAACCTTTGCACCAGCTGTATCAGTAAAAGAGTGTTAAGGGCCTTTTTTTTTTAAAGATACCAGACTGCTCAATAAGTCTTCTTGCTGAGGCTTGGTCATTTCTTTGTAGATATAAACATGCTGAGCAGTTCTAATTTGCTTTGGTATGTCCTTTATATTTTCCCGTTCATTACAGCTGAAAGCGCATCATACCTGAATATCCATTTCTGTCGCATATGAATGAGTTCACTATGCTGCCTATGGCAAGATGAAATCAGTTGGAGGTGGATGAGTTTTGTGTAAAAGTAATTGTCAGGTGAAGTGCCGGCACAGTATGAATATACCCGTCTTGTGTGTTGAATTACCAATTATATTTGCAGACATTGTTCAGTTTCGGGAAAGGTTGAAATCTAATTTCCTTGCTCTTGCTGGTATGTTTTGAATCCCTTTTCATTGCAGCCTATATGACCCATGAAGAAATTTAATATAGAATATGTTTCTCAAGCATCCGTTATGTAATTGAACTACTGGGATAGTACTGATGGAGAGCAGAGGTCAGGAAAGGTATTTCTTCAGCTCTGAATTGCAGCGCCCACAGTGTCCCCGATGGATTTTTTGATTGCCTCCAAAGCATCTTGTGTGCCATACGAAAGCCAACACTTCTGAGAAGCTGACAGTTTTGAAGCGGCCAAGCAACGTCGGGATTCTATAGAGACTGAAAATGAGTCCCTGTGTCATGGTTTTCCTCTTCAAGTCATAATCAAGTCCAAACAGTCTGTTTTTTTGTCCCTCTGCCTAGAAGCTGAACGACTCCCCATCCATGGCTTTGCAAACAGCAACATATGTAAATCCTGAGGAGATAAAACGAGCCCTTAGGATTGTTTTAGTATTTCACAGCCTTTCTCGGCTACTCTGCAAAAGATTCTCCCGGCGGAGCTTGCCTTGCGCTCTGCATACTAAAGGCAGAAATTGAGATTGCGTTCCTAAAACACACTGTTCTGAAGTTACTAATTTGCCTGCAAAACTTTCCCATCAGTGCCAGGGATATCAAAGGAGTCTTTGAAAACCAGCTAGTTAGAACATAAGCACCTTCTGGGCCAGCCCCTCTTAAGTGAATTGTTATATATGGCACTGACAAGGCGCCAACAGCACTCTTGGGTCTGCCTTTTCTCAGCTCTCTAGTTTTTACAAGGTTTATGGTCTTAAAGTTGGTGGTACACCTTGTGATTCACCGGCTCTTGTTTTTGGGGGCCTCACAGCTCCACCAGCAGTTCCTCTCTGCTTCAGACAGGTTGTAATTAGCTTTGGCTCCAATTCTGCGTCAGCCAGCAGACAGTCAATGGCCAGAGCCATTACTGTGAACGCGGCTCTCTCTCACTGTCAGCTCCGCATTATGGAGTCTGGGAGGCTGGGAACTTATTTCCCCTGCAGGCTAGGAGAAATGGAGGACATCAGTTCAGAGAGCAACTTCCCTTGCTTTTTCGAGAGCCCACAAATGCATCAAGCCTCCATGAAGGACTCAAATAATCTGATTTCAAATGATTGAGTATCCAAGAGTTTAAAGAGCCCAGCGAATATTGAGCCCCCTTAGTAATATTGTGAAGTTCAAAAGGGACTTTAAGGACATGCTTTCATCTCAAGCTCCATACAATTTTTTCAAATGTAGATTATAAACTTTGAAACTATTACCGATATATGCACACATGTGACTCTACAGTAGTGGCCAAAAGTGATGTCCAGAGGGGATATTGGAGTGTTTGACCTGACAAGTTCAATTAAACTATATCTCAGTATCTCACAAAAGTGAGTACACCCCTCACATTTCAGCAAACATTTTAATATATCTTCTCAAGGGACAATACTATAGAAATGAAACTTGGATATATTTTAGAGTAGTCATTGTGCTGCTTGTATAGCAGTATATATTTACTGTCCTCTGAAAATAACTCGACATACAGCCTTTATTGTCAAAATAGCTGGCAACAAAAGTGAGTACACCCTAAGTGAACATGTTAAAACTGTGTCCAAAGTGTCAATATTTTGTGTGAGCCCCATTGTTATCTAGCACTGCCTTAATCCTTAATTCACCAGAGCTGCACAGGTTGTTGCTGGGATCCTCTTCCACTAATTACATATCGGAGCTGCTGGATGTTAGACACATGGCACTTCTCCACCTTCCTCTTGAGGACGCCCCACAGGTGCTCAATAGGGTTCAGGTCTGGAGACATACTTGGCCACTCCATCATCTTCACCTTCAGCTTCCTCAGCAAGGCAGTTGTCATCTTGGCGGTGTGTTTGGGGTCGTTATCATGCCGTTCGGCCCAGTTTCTGAAGGGAGGGCATCATGTTCTGCTTCAGAATGTCACAGTACATGTTGGAATCCATGTTTCCCTCAATGAAGCGCAGCTCCCCAGTGCCAGAAGCGCTCATGCAGCCCCAGACCATGATGCTACCAACACCCATGCTTGACTGTAGGCAAGACACAATTTTCTCTGTACTGCTCACCAGGACATCGCCACACATGCTGGACACCATCTGAGCCACGCAAGTTTATCTTCGTCTCATCAGACCACAGGACATGGTTCCAGTAATTCATGCTCTTGGACAGGTTGCTTTCAGCAGACTCTGTGGGCTTTCTTGTGAGCCAGCTTCAGAAGAGGCTTCCTTCTGGGACGACGGCCATGCAAACCGGCTTGTTGCAGTGTGCGGGTTATGGTCTGAGCACTAACAAGCTGACCTTCTGCTTCTGCAACCTCTAAAGCAATGCTGGCAGCACTCATGCGTCTGTTTTTTGAAGCCAGCTTCTGCACCTGACACACAGCACGAGGACTCAACTTCTTTGACTGACCCTTGCGAGGCCTGTTACAAGTGGAACCCGTCTTGAAAAACCTCTGTATGACCCTGGCCTGTACTGTAACTCAGTTTCAGGGTGTTACCAATCTTCTTATAGCCTAGGTCTTATAGCCTCTTTGTGGAGAGCAGCAGTTCTAATTCTCAAATCTTTAGAGAGTTCTTTGCATGAGGTGCCATGTTGAACATCCAGTGGTCAGTATGAGAGAATTGTACTCCAAGCACAAATTTGAACTGCTCTAATACAAGATACACAAATTTGTATGGTCCTTTCAAGCAGACAAAAACACGAACATGATGAATAGGACATGTGGCTTTGCATGGTTAAACGACGTACAGCTATTATCACTTAGGGTGTATTCACTTTTGTTGCCAGCTATTTTGACAATAATGGCTGTATGTCGAGTAGGGCTGGGGTAAACGATTATTAATTAAACGATTAGTCTGTCGATTATTTTATCGATTAGTCGACTAATCTAACGACTAATTGAACGATTCTTTTTTGTAACATGGAAATTGCAGGAGTGCACATTCAATGCACAACAATTTTGATCTGGTTCTTACAGAGTATCTACACTGTAAAATGTTTGGTAGGCTACTCAAATTAGCCCTATCACACTTGGATGTGGTGCTCATTTTAATGTTTTCAGTGCTCATAAAAAACATCCGGACTGATTTTTCGGTTTTGTTGACGGGGGTGGGGTTTACATGCGCTTCATAAGGCACACACGCACATTTGTACACACACGCGCAAGGTCTCTCGCTCTCTCCCTCGCTGCGCGCGCTACACGGTTTGGAGCTCGCGAGCTCTAGATTCCGGGAGATTTTAACTAATTTGCGGTCATCAGGGAGCCGCTATCACTATGCGGGAGACTTGGGAAGTCGACTCCATTTGACAAAGAGCGCAAATAACGACACCTTTACGTTTGGGACTAAATTTGAAGTATTCCCATACCTTCGATGATTTAGTGCGAGCTGGGTTTTTTTAGGACTTTTTCTTTTGTTGAGACTTTTGCATGGCTTTGTTGTGAATTCTGTGAAGAGGTTGCTGTTTCGTCCTCGATTCTGCAATGTTTCGGTCTCCCACGTGTGTGTGGCGAGCTGTAATGTCAATAATGTCAGAGCTGTAATTTGACTAATGTTTGCTGAAATGTGAGGGGTCTTTTTGTGAGATACTATATATATACAGTGAGGAAAATAAGTATTTGAGCACCCTGCTATTTTGCAAGTTCTCCCACTTAGAAATCATGGAGGGGTCTGAAATTGTCATCGTAGGTGCATGTCCACTGTGAGAGACATAATCTAAAAAAAAAAAATCCAGAAATCACAATGTATGATTTTTTTTAACTATTTATCTGTGTGATACAGCTGCGAATAAGTATTTGAACACCTGAGAAAATCAATGTTAATATTTGGTACAGTAGCCTTTGTTTTCAATTACAGAGGTCAAACGTTTCCTGTAGTTTTTCACCAGGTTTGCACACACTGCAGGAGGGATTTTGGCCCACTCCTCCACACATTTCTTCTCTAGATCAGTCAGGTTTCTGGGCTGTCGCTGAGAAACACGGAGTTTGAGCTCCCTCCAAAGATTCTCTATTGGGTTTAGGTTTGGAGACTGGTTAGGCCACGCCAGAACCTTGATATGCTTCTTACAGAGCCACTCCTTGGTTATCCTGGCTGTGTGCTTCGGGTCATTGTCATGTTGGAAGACCCAGCCTCGACCCATCTTCAATGCTCTAACTGAGGGAAGGAGGTTGTTCTCCAAAATCTCGCAATGCATGGCCCTGTCATCCTCTCCTTAATACAGTGCAGTCGCCCTGTCCCATGTGCAGAAAAACACCCCCAAAGCATGATGCTACCACCCCCATGCTTTACAGTAGGGATGGTGTTCTTGGGATGGTACTCATCATCATTCTTCTTCCTCCAAACACGGCGAGTGGAATTATGACCAAAAAGTTATATTTTGGTCTCATCTGACCACATGACTTTCTCCCATGACTCCTCTGGATCATCCAAATGGTCATTGGCAAACTTAAGACGGGACTTGACATGTGCTGGTTTAAGCAGGGGAACCTTCAGTGCCATGCATGATTTCAAACCATGACGTCTTAGTGTATTATCAACAGTAACCTTGGAAACGGTGGTCCCAGCTCTTATCAGGTCATTGACCAGCTCCTCCCGTGTAGTTCTGGGCTGATTTCTCACCTTTCTTAGGATCATTGAGACCCCACGAGGTGAGATCTTGCATGGAGCCCCAGTCCGAGGGAGATTGACAGTCATGTTTAGCTTCTTCCATTTTCTAATGATTACTCCAACAGTGGACCTTTTTTCACCAAGCTGCTTGGCAATTTCCCCGTAGCCCTTGCCAGCCTTGTGGAGGTGTACAATTTTGTCTCTAGTGTCTTTGGACAGCTCTTTGGTCTTGGCCATGTTAGTAGTTGGATTCTTACTGATTGTATGGGGTGGACAGGTGTCTTTATGCAGCTAACGACCTCAAACAGGTGCATCTAATTTAAGATAATAAATGGAGTGGAGGTGGACATTTTAAAGGCAGACTAACAGGTCTTTGAGGGTCAGAATTCTAGCTGATAGACAGGTGTTCAAATACTTATTTGTAGCTGTATCATACAAATAAATAGTTAAAAAATAAAAACATTTTTTAGATTGTCTCTCACAGTGGAGAGAACTTGCAAAATTGCAGGGTGTTCAAATACTTATTTGTAGCTGTATCATACAAATAAATAGTTAAAAAATAAAAACATTTTTTAGATTATGTCTCTCACAGTGGAGAGAACTTGCAAAATTGCAGGGTGTTCAAATACTTATTTTCCTCACTATATATATATAAGCTACAGGTTTTATTGTACTATGCGCAAAAATGCATAGAAAAACAAAAAAGCTCACAGGAAAAGCATGCATTGACTACAATCAGTAATTAATGTTTTGTTGTTTCATAATTTCTTTGGAAGCCTGTCCAAGAATTAGGCTATGTCCACACAATTTGGCCCGTTTAATGCCGTTATTATAAATTAAACAATAGACTCCAACCACAACTACAAAAAATTATTACATAATCATTAAATAACTTGTTAATATTTAAATAAAGAGTGAAGATGTTCATTTTCCAAGGTCAGACATCACGTTTGGCCACTACCCTACATCGGTTGGTTCTTTGCTGAGTTGCTGTGTAGCTTGGAAACTTTAAAAGAGCATACTTTTAAGCTAATAAACTGCATTGCTACATTACACTATAAACATTTTTCCAAAAAGTGTAACTTTAGTGGTGCAACAGCTTTTTACTGGAGCAGTACCTTTAAAAGGAGAACTTTGTACTTTGATTTACCCCTAAATGGTTCATAGCAGGGTTATTATAGTTAAACTAAAACTATAACCATACAAATATTTTTGTTACTTGAAATAAAATGTATAGAGCAACTTCAACTTATTTTATTTCAGCTAATTGCCAAGGCATTTTCTTTTCATTTAGTTTAACTTGGTGTACTAAAATAAAATTGTATATAAAACTATAGACATTTAAAAAATATATGTAAAGTGACAAAACGCTCAACAAAATTACTAAAACTTTAAAATGAAAACAGAAAATATAAAGAAATAAACCATAATAGTATCTCAATTATACAAAAATGCCACTGGTTCATAGTAGCACCAGTTCTGCAGTAAGATAATATGCACCTAATAATAATAATAAACTTAATTGTATGGTAACTGCAATATTTAAAACACACACACATATATATATATATATATCATGGTAATACTGCACATACAATAAACATAATCCTGTGCCTGGTTGCCACCTGACATAAAGCTAAAAATAAAAAAGATGATGACTGTTTGTAGCTACTACACCATTAAAAAAAATGCATATTGTGTCAGTGGTGTTCAACGTTTTTCATTTTGAAGTGTGTAGTTAATATCCGGTCAGCATTAGTGTGGTAAACATGGCTTTGTTTGATTTCTGTTAACCGTCCATAAACTGTTATAGACTTTTACAGTTATCAGTTTACTGTTATTTCAACAACACTGGTGTTACCGCATACAAGCTCCTGTTTGTCCAGCTCACTCTCCCCATACATGTTACTATAGCAGTGTCTGATGAAACGCACCTCACTTGTTTTCTTGCCACTTTTTCATCTGCTCTGCTGCGTGTTGCTCCAGTGCACATTTTAATCATTTGCATTTCACTGTTTTTGCAATTTAAGTCAGACTTGTTCTTTATTTTTGTAGTCGAGCATGAGCACTTTTTGTCTTTCTTAACACACTTTTTGTCTTTATAGATATACTTGCACCTGAGGTCATACACGGTGCCAAACGAGCAGCGCTACATCATCCGCATCCTCTTCATTGTCCCCATCTATTCTTTCGACTCCTGGCTCAGCTTGCTGTTCATCACTAATGACCAGTATTATGTGTATTTCGACTCTGTTCGTGACTGCTATGAAGGTACAGTAAATCTGAGCTGCTCTCTGCCCTTACATCCTCTTCTGCCTCACGGGCGTAATATTATTTAGCACAAATATAGCGCTGGTGGAATGACGTGTGCTGTTGTTTTTAAGTATGGCCTGCAGTGAGGGAGGAGAGCCTGCTTTACAGACATAGGGTTGCAGGTTTCATAGAGGGGAAATGGATACATGTTCATTGTAACTGAACAAACCTGTTGGTCGTGGCACAGTCAGAAAGGAGGCAAGCCAAATGTCTCTGTTATCATCTTTTCAGGCCTATCCCACTGCTGCTAGACAATGACTATTTATAACAGTTTTTTTCTGTTTAAGTTACATGGGAAAATTCCAGTATGCAGATTTATTTCACTTAAACCATTTTATTCCATATACTTAAAAAGTTCAAAGTATTTGTTGTATTCTTTATTGGGGTAGGTAAGATTTGTAAATGTTTTTTTTTAAAAGTCCTTTTTACTTGTCAAGGCTGTATTTATTTGATAAAAAATAAACTATTACTTTAGTCTTTAGTTTCACATGATCTTCAGAAATCATTCTAATATGCTGATTTGGTGAAACATTTCTCATCAGTGTTGTGAACAGGTGCTTAATAATTTTGTGGAAGCCATGATGCATTTTTCTTCCTTTTTTTTTTTGCTGAATAGTGTCAAAGAACAGCTTTTATTTGGAATAAAAATCTTCTTGTAACAATGTAAATAGCTTTACTGTCACTTTGTTTAATGCATCGTTTCTGAATAAAGTATTAAATTATTTTAATATAATATAGGTACTATAATATAAATATAATTGTACTTTTAAAGATGTTAAGTCTTAGTCATAGACCATTAGTAAACTCTTACCACAAGTAATAGTTGTACACACTGAGAGACAATGAGATCTGACCATCTAATCTGTCTTTAAATAGACCTCTTAGGTTAAGATGGATTTCCTGGACACAAACAACTCCTCAATCTTGATGTGTAATGAGATGTTCTGTCATGTCAAACATGTTATTTATGCTTATCATTTAAAGCTCTTACTGCAAATTGTTTAAGTTAGGCTCTCATGTATGATTTTTTTTTTTTTTTTTTTTTTTTTATTCAAGCATTTGTGATATACAACTTCCTGAGTCTGTCTTTTGAGTACCTCGGGGGAGAAAGTGCCATCATGTCGGAAATAAGAGGAAAACCCATTCAGTGAGTGTCTATATATCTATATAAAAAAATGTTAGGTGATTAAACATAGTGAGCAGCATTTTAAGGCATGGTAGGTGTGCTCCCTTTGCAAAGGCTTAAGGCGATAGTTCACCCAAAATTTTTAATTCATCATCTACTCACCCTCAAGTACTCACGTTCATCTTCAAGAAACAAATGAAAATATTTTTTTAATCAAATCTGAGCGATGTCGGTCTCTCCATTGACAGCTACGCAACTACCACTTTGACGCTTCAGAAAGTTCATAAAGAGATCGTAAAAATAATCCATATGAATTGAGCGGTTTAGTTAACATTTTCTGAAGAGACTTGATCACTTTATACGATGAACAGATTAAATTTAGGCTTTTATCACAAATAAACATTGATCAGTGAACATAAACAGAAGCTCGACCGTACTTGGCTGACGCAGGAGAACAAACGTCATTGGTTCTTGCTGAAGCTCAAACGTGCTGCGTAACACGAGAATGAACCTCATTGGTTCTTGCTGAAGCTCAAACGTGCTGCGTAACACGAGAATGAACCTAATTGGTTCTTGCTGAAGCTCAAACGTGCTGCGTAACACGAGAATGAACCTCATTGGTTCTTGAAGAAGCTCAAACGTGATGCGCAACACGAGAGTGAACCTCATTGGTTCTTGAAGAAGCTCAAACGTGATGCGCAACACGAGAGTGAACCTCATTGGTTCTTGAAGAAGCTCAAACGTGATGCGCAACATGAGAGTGAACCTCATTGGTTCTTGAAGAAGCTCAAACGTGATGCGTAACACCAGAATGAACCTCATTGGTTCTTGCTGAAGCTCAAACGTGCTGCGTAACACGAGAATGAACCTCATTGGTTCTTGCTGAAGCTCAAACGTGCTGAAGCTCAAACGTGCTGCATAACACGAGAATGAACCTCATTGGTTCTTGCTGAAGCTCAAACGTGCTGCATAACACGAGAATGAACCTAATTGGTTCTTGCTGAAGCTCAAACGTGCTGCATAACACGAGAATGAACCTCATTGGTTCTTGCTGAAGCTCAAACGTGCTGCATAACACGAGAATGAACCTAATTGGTTCTTGCTGAAGCTCAAACGTGCTGCATAACACGAGAATGAACCTAATTGGTTCTTGCTGAAGCTCAAACGTGCTGCGTAACACGAGAATGAACCTCATTGGTTCTTGCTGAAGCTCAAACGTGCTGCATAACACGAGAATGAACCTCATTGGTTCTTGCTGAAGCTCAAACGTGCTGCATAACACGAGAATGAACCTCATTGGTTCTTGCTGAAGCTCAAACGTGCTGCATAACACGAGAATGAACCTCATTGGTTCTTGCTGAAGCTCAAACGTGCTGCGTAACACGAGAATGAACCTCATTGGTTCTCATTAGTCAAGCAAGCATGATTGAGCTTCTGTTTACCTCAACTGATGTGTGTGTTGATGAATATTTATATGTGAATAAAAGCCTAAATTCAATCTGTTCATCATATAAAGTGATCAAGACTCTTCAGAAAATTTGTACAAAAGCGCTCAATTCATATGGATTATTTTTACGATCTCTTTATGAACTTTTTGAAGGTCAAAGTGGTTGTTGCTTAGCTATCAATGGAGGGACAGAAAGCACTCAGATTTTATAAAAAATATCTTAATTTGTCTTCGAAAAATTAACAAATGTCCTACAGGTTTGGACCGACGTGAGGGTGAGTAAATGATGACAGAATTTTAATTTTTGGGTTAACTAACCCTTTAATTATGCTGCCTCATAAAATGCCTAATTTTGGCCAGATTCAAGGGTCGGCAAAATTTTAGTTCCACAATGCATTGTAAAGTGCTTGGAGAAAACAAAAATCTAACATTGTGGACAATGTGGGCAGAATTTGATTAAAATGCACTGAATATAATTAAACACCTCATGAAGCTCCTCTGGAAGTATGGTGACCGCCACCTTCAATTTAAATTTGGTTGTCATCGCCCACATGGCCACCATGACTCAGTGTGTCAGAGCATGTGTGTTAACCTCTCCTGTAGGTTAAAGCTCTGACAGCATTTTCTATTTTTTGTGCAACATAATTTTTCGCCTGCCTGTGTCTTAAGAGATCAATTCATCAAACTACCCTCAAGAATAGCATTACCTTTTCAGCAAGTTTCTCTTCATTTGCCTTTAACAGGTCCAGTTGCCTATACGGGACATGCTGTTTAGGAGGAATTAGTTACTCCATTGGCTTCCTGAGATTCTGCAAGCAGGTTTGTTCCTGTTTTTTTTTTAATAAAGTCCAACTTTTCCTTCAACATTTTTCCTAGCATTTATTTGTACTTTTTAAAAAATCTGAAATGTTTAGCTTATTTCCATGTTTTAGCCTACATCTCAGATTTTCAGTCTGGTCTCATACTTTTGGACCCCACTTATGTCTCATATCCCATTCTGTTTTTACCTGCAGTTGTATAAAGACAAACGGTGATGTGTAAATAGCGTAAATGTTAATAAGAGGGTCAGAATTTCTGTCTTCTGTCTCTACAACCTATATCTACCTTTTCTACCTGAATTGTCCTGAACTAGCAGCTGTTATCATTGTAACATTGTCTTTCCTGAGCAGCTCCAGTGGTTAATGTAGGGTTGCAACTGTAGGAAGCAGGTGCAAGTAGCTTGATGATAAGCACAAAAAAAGCTATTGCTGCCAGACTGATGCTGTCTGCGCGTTAGCTGAGGAACTCGCTCGTACTTTGATAATAATGCTGATGGGATTTGGACTTGAGAGCCCCATCCCCCATTCTGAAAAGAATGTGAATATAACTTTTTTTAATAGGAAGTGAAATTTCAAAACGCATAAATCTGTCTGACCGGACGCCGACATGTGGGATTTTCAAAGCATCACCTCGCGATATACCAGACTGTAGCGGAGACAGAGCGTGCTTTGATTATTTTGAGACAGCTTTTCACAAAGACAGCTTCGATTTAAAACTTGAATTCCCTGTTGATGTTTCAAGCAGTCGATTCCGACTCACATGTAGTGAGATTGGGGGGAAATTCTCCTTTGCGTCATTCTCAGTAAGTGGATTTGTCAGTCATGTCAAACTTTGTGTTGATTATGTAAGAAATAAGCACTGCCTGTCAAAAATAAGCATGTAACATTACCATGCCTTTGAAAAGAATGAGGACTGGAAGTCACTCAAACTATATTAAAGGGCCATGTTGACTAAATAGAACAGGCGTGAAAACCAAACCATCACCATTACTCATTGGCTTCTGTTACTAATGTCATCTAGGCCACACTTCAGTTCTGTGTCATCAAGCCCATCATGGCTGTCATCACCATCCTTCTGCAGGCTTTTGGCAAATACCACGATGGAGATTTTAAGTGAGCCACCCTGTCATTCATTTGTATCAGCATCCCTTATATCACAACATCTGCCTTTTTAAATGAGCTGTGCTTAACTCCTTGTGTTGTTTCTCTTCATATAGTATAACGGGAGGTTATCTGTACATCACCATCATTTACAACATCTCTGTCAGTTTGGCACTCTATGCCCTCTTCCTCTTCTTCTTCGCCACCAGTGACCTTCTAAGACCTTTTGAGCCTGTGCTCAAATTCCTCACCATCAAATCCGTCATCTTCCTCTCATTCTGGCAAGGTGGGTTACTCTGCATTCTTATTTTATATGTTCAGTATTCATCTCAAGCTGTTCATTGACACTTAAGTACAATACTACTATGAACAACAATTTTGTCACTAATGTCACATGTTTGTCAATGTACTAATCTTTTTTTTTCTTTTTTTTCTTCATAAAACGTCTAATGTGGCAGAAGTTACTTGCTCTACCTTTAACAAATATGACACAAATTTTCAGATTTCTACTTGCTCGATGCCAGCTGTTCTCAACCGGGGGGTCTCAGCAAACTTCTAAGGGGGCCTCGAGATGACTTTAATTTAAAAGTCAAGATTAAATGAGCATTAAAATAAGCTTAAAAACAAAAAAAAAATCAAGATATTTCTTATTTTAACTCACCCTCTCAACAACTTTTCTTTTTTCTTTTTTAAGAATTATTAAATTTCGATTTCTAGTCCTGGAAAATGTTTTAATTGAAATCCTATAAATAAAGCATGTTTATACATTTTATGAATATATGTTTTTCTATTGATGCCAAACTCTAAAAAAAAAAATTTACTCACAATTTACCCTGTAAAATACTTAAAAAACCCTTATCCTTATCTAGTAAATAATGAACAACTAGAAAAGTCATGGGGCCTTCGCATATTGTTGTGGACAGTAGCTATGATTCCATCCATCTATTTTTATGGGCATTTTAGGATATTGCATGAAAAATCGATGGATGGAAACGCCAAGATGCGCATAAAATATTAAATTGTGCATAAAAAAACGAATGCACCCAATTGAGGCAGATCATTTGTTTTATCCAATAAGACGACATGAGCATAAATTATGATGGAAATACATTTACCGAATAAATCCCTCGATGTGCAACTTGCGTGACTGCCTCAACAGTGGAAGTGATTGGATAACTAAACTAACCAGTGGACCAATTTCATTGCAAAGCTTCTCAAATGCTGGTTTGATCATTCTGAAATGCCTTAGCCAAAGTCTGTCATCAGAATGATTTGGATTAATTCCCACACAGAAGCATCTCACATGATTGTGTTCCCAAACGCCAGCATCCGAATGTAAGATAACATGACAGGGTTGTATGATGTAGGAAAAAAGATTTTGTTCTCTTGAACACTTGGGATGAAACGCTGCTAATTTTTTTTTGTTTTCACGATATTCCAATTTTGTGCACTAGTTAAATATGGAACTTTGGATGGAAACGTAGCTAGTGGGCGCAATTGGAGTCAAAAAGGTTGAGAACCACTGCCATATGCAAATTTTTTTCTTTGGTTGTCTTTTTCTCAGGTATGTTATTGGCCATTCTGGAGCGTTGTGGTGTGATTCCAGAAGCTCTGGTCATTGATGGTCATGAGGTCGGTGCTGGTACAGTGGCAGCTGGTTGGCAGAACTTCATCATCTGCATCGAAATGTTCTTCGGCGCCATCGCCCTCCGCTACGCCTTCACCTCCAGTGTGTACCGCGAGAAGAAGAGTGAAACACCAGGTTAGAAGCTTGAAAATCTGACACTTTGGAAAAACAAAGCAGCACTTTTTAACTTGTTTTTTAAAGGTAAGTTTAGATGATCTTAGAAACATGTCTCAGCAAGCCTTTATGAGGCAACTTGAAGTTTTCTTCCTCAGGAGGGTTATGACTCACAGTTCAGAAGACTGTTGGAAAGCTCCACTCACACCAGCAAGACACAGATCATCAAAAACTCCTGTGTACTGAGAAACTCAGACCTGTGGCATGTTGTTATGATGCCATTTCAACGAAATCTTCAGCGGGTGTTTTTCTTGCTGTAAAACTTTGTTGTGAATTTAACTTTCAGCATACTGAGGTCAGATGACAAGGAATCGTTTAGCCAAAAATTACAATTCTGTTATTCACAGTCAAGTTCGCAGTAGGGATGTCACGATATCAGATTTTGGCTACATGATTATCATGGCAAAAAGAATTCACGGTAACGATATTATCGCAAGAACTAGCAATTTTGAAGAAAATAATGGTGTCGGTTAAATGTATTTTGTGTTCTCTTTTTTTGCTCAATGAATTGCACTCAAAATGCAATTTTAGTTATTCAAACTAAAGTCAAGTCACATTTATTTATATAGCGCTTTTTACAATACAGATTGTTGCATTATTTTCCTGTTATCTCTGTAAAGCTGCTTTGAAACAAAGTTTGTTTCCAGAAGAAAATAGCATCACAGTCCAACTTAAGTAGGTTCAGTGATGTTTCATTTTTGTTGTAAAAAAGTTATTAATTTAGTTCATTTATATATATATATAGCCGTTCTGGAGAAAACCGTGATGTCATCGTCCAGCTCAGTTTAGTTCTCGTATAATGGTGTCAATGCAGGCAGATCAATATTATTGTTGAAAATTAAATTAAATGTTAAATTTAATGTCCCCAACTAAGCAAGCCAAAAGCCAATGGCAACAAAGGTGGAAAAAAGCGACAGTGGCAAGCAACCAAAACTCCATCAGTGGCAGAATGGAGGAAAAAACCTTGGGAGAGCCCAGGCTCAGTCGGGGGGGCAGTTCTCCTCTGGCCAACGAACGAACAGTGTATGATTTATGATTCAGGCAGCATTACAGGTCAGAAGTCAGATTGGATCAGAATATTATCCAGTTCCATCTGGTTGAAGATCGGAGTCATCACGCCGGTGAACACCTACTCAAGAGAGTATGTGATTTCAGACGCAGTCCCTGTCTTTTTTTCGAAATACAAAAAACTCCCACTCGGGAGAACTTAATATTTCAAGTGTGGGTAGAGTGGCTCGATTTCATCTGTCATCTCTTCTGACATGATTTTGTGCATCAGTAGAAGCTACACTGCGTCATTGTCATTCCTTTTCTTTTTTTTTCTTTTTTTTCTTTTTTTTTTTTTACGATGGCAATCAGTATTAAGGTGCAATACTGCCTTCTACTATATCGGGGTGTCAATCAGATGATTCTGACTTATTTACTATTACCTAATAGCAGGCAGTATATAGTATGCACAGTGCAGAAAACAGTATGCTAGTAGTATATCATTCTGATCATATTCTTAGAGCTACAAAAGCCTCTCCACGCTTAACAGCTTAGTCATATTCCGACGCTTGTTCTTTTCAAGGTGGTGAAGAATAGTTCGGTTTCAATTTCCACCAATTTAAGCTGTAATGTCAGTTCAGCTGCTGAATGTTAAAAGCTGCATTAGATTTGTGTTCTGCCTTCGAGAGGCCTCCATGAAATATAACTTGACTGTCAGTTAGATATGCATGTTTCAAGCCTTGTGTCAGTTTGAATGTTAATCTTCTAAGCACAAGGTCTTCTTTCACAGTGGGCGTATTGCAGAATTCTACTTAACGTTGTAGGAGAAAACCTACAAATGTGTTCAGAACTCCCTTGAGTTTTTAACCATAGTTTAACACTGAGCTCAAAGGGTGAAGTCACAGCTGGTTTCATAACCTTTCACTGTTAATAAAAAGGCCACGACTGTCATGAAGTCAGTTAGGTAGAGCAACCTTCCAGGATGGCCTTTTCTCCCTAGCGGACCACCTGTGAAGAAGCTTAGGACCGTTTGCTGATCCAGAGTTTTTTCACCCTCCATGGGGCCAGGTCCCAAAACATCCATCCGTTCACTGTACGGTTTTCAGGCTGGCCGCTGGAGAGCAACAAGCACAGTTCAAGTGTTTCTTATACAGGAGGTCAGAAACTTTCGCCCCTCTAGTGGCAGCCTGCCGTCACCTTTGTACAAGCTCTCATCCATCATCCACAAGGCAAGATGAAGTTTGCTGGAACTCATCATATTGCAGTGTATCAGGCTGTACTCTGTAACCTCATTTAATACATCCACAGCTGAGATAAATCTGGGGTTGTGGATTTTTTTTTTTCCTGGCTTCTCCAGCCTGTCGTAGGTAAATGAAGCAGAAGAGTGATTTGGCAAACACATCAGTGGAGGGGAGCAGTGCATTGCTAGTGGTCTCATCCCCGTTTCTATTTTGCGAACAGCTGGGTTGGACCTTGGCGGTGCCTGTGGCGATGTGCTCACAAGAGTGAGGATAATAGCAAGATTGCATTGTGTCGAAATGTCACTGGCTGTTAACGGATTGTGTAATCCAGACAAACAAAATGCCTCTGAAATGTGAAATATGACTTTTATGCTTTGTTAACTTGGGAATGTTTTTTACTGTTCATTAGACATTGTCTTTCTGTTGTATATATTTATAAATATATATATATAAAAATATACAATTTTATATACAGGTCCTTCTCAAAAAATAAGCATATTGTGATCAAGTTCATTATTTTCCATAATGTAATGATAAAAATTAAACTTTCATACATTTTAAATTCATTGCACACCAACTGAAATATTTCAGGTCTTTTATTGTTTTAATACTGATGATTTTGGCATACAGCTCATGAAAACCCAAAATTCCTATCTCAAAAAATTTGCATATTTCATCCGACCAATAAAAGAAGTGTTTTTAATACAAAAAAAAAGTCAACCTTCAAATAATTATGTTCAGTTATGCACTCAATAGTCAAGACTTGGTCGGGAATCCTTTTGCTGAAATGACTGCTTCAATGCGGCGTGGCATGGAGGCAATCAGCCTGTGGCACTGCTGAGGTGTTATGGAGGCCCAGGATGCTTCGATAGCGGCCTTAAGCTCATCCAGAGTGTTGGGTCTTGCGTCTCTCTACTTTCTCTTCACAATATCCCACAGATTCTCTATGGGGTTCAGGTCAGGAGAGTTGGCAGGCCAATTGAGCACAGTAATACCATGGTCAGTAAACCATTTACCAGTGGTTTTGGCACTGTGAGCAGGTGCCAGGTCGTGCTGAAAAATGAAATCTTCATCTCCATAAAGCTTTTCAGCAGATGGAAGCATGAAGTGCTCCAAAATCTCCTGATAGCTAGCTGCATTGACCCTGCCCTTGATAAAACACAGTGGACCAACACCAGCAGCTGACATGGCACCCCAGACCATCACTGACTGTGGGTACTTGACACTGGACTTCAGGCATTTTGGCATTTCCTTCTCCCCAGTCTTCCTCCAGACTCTGGCACCTTGATTTCCGAATGACATGCAAAACTGAGCAACAGTCCAGTGCTGCTTCTCTGTAGCCCAGGTCAGGCGCTTCTGCCGCTGTTTCTGGTTCAAAAGTGGCTTGACCTGGGGAATGCGGCACCTGTAGCCCATTTCCTGCACACGCCTGTGCACGGTGGCTCTGGATGTTTCTACTCCAGACTCAGTCCACTGCTTCCGCAGGTCCCCCAAGGTCTGGAATCGGTCCTTCTCCACAATCTTCCTCAGGGTCCGGTCACCTCTTCTCGTTGTGCAGCGTTTTTTGCCACACTTTTTCCTTCCCACAGACTTCCCCCTTGATACAGCACTCTGGGAACAGCCTATTTGTTCAGAAATTTCTTTCTGTCTTACCCTCTTGCTTGAGGGTGTCAATGATGGCCTTCTGGACAGCAGTCAGGTCGGCAGTCTTACCCATAATTGCGGTTTTGAGTAATGAAACAGGCTGGGAGTTTTTAAAAGCCTCAGGAATCTTTTGCAGGTGTTTAGAGTTAATTAGTTGATTCAGATGATTAGGTTAATAGCTCGTTTAGAAACGCTTTTCATGATATGCTAATTATTTGAGACAGGAATTTGGGGTTTTCATGAGCTGTATGCCAAAATCATCAGTATTAAAACAATAAAAGACCTGAAATATTTCAGTTGGTGTGCAATGAATCTAAAATATATGAAAGTTTAATTTTTATCATTACATTATGGAAAATAATGAACTTTATCACAATATGCTAATTTTTTTAGAAGGACCTGTATATATTTTGTCCTGCACCCACCCACAACTTTCATGTTTTGTCCGGCTCCCTCCTCCTGCAAAAGGCTGCAGGTAGAGGTGCAAAATTTAATTCCCTCTCTGTTTTAAGCCATTTTTTTTTTCCAGTTCCTCCCCACGGACAACACTTCAGACCTCAGCTTGTTGCATTTGTGTTATCAGACAAAAGGATGCCTTCCTTCGCTGTTGCCTACAGTTGAAAAACAGTGAGAATATCCAACCCGGTGCCATTTATTTTTTATTGTTGAATAAATTAATAACACACATAACATCCTCTTATAAGTACAATATGTACCTTCAAAACAAAATACATTTAAGTAGATATTTATGCTTCACGGGAGTCCCACAAGTAATTTCTTTCCCCTGCTTTCTGTGCACACATAAATATCTTCCCTCCTACACTGAGCAATTCAACTTGTCCCAGGCTGCAATCCCGGTCCTGTGGATAATGTGTTAGTCCAATGGGAGTGAAGACCTCTAGATTAGAAAAAGGCCTATAGTTGACCTCAATATATAGTTGTGGTGTAATGGGTTTTAATGATGAGACTGTGTGCGAAACTGCCTCTTATTTCCTTTGTAGAGTGTTTTGGTTACATCTTCCTCGAGTTTCACGTCCTAAGTTTTAAAAGAACAAAAACTTTCAGATTTGTTCATTTTAAGTCTCGGATGTCATAAAATACGTTGTGATATTTGACGCTTGTATCTATTGTTTTGTTTTGTAGAGAATGTAGCACCTATGCACAGCATATCCAGTGGCCTGAAGGAGACCATGAACCCTGGAGACATGGTTCAGGACGCAATCCACAACTTCTCCCCGGCCTACCAACAGTACACCCAGCAGTCCACCCAGGAAGTGGTGCAACCCAACGTGAATGGCAAACCAGGGATCAGCACCACCAAGAGTGCTAAGAAATCTGACAAAGTGATGCTGATCGACACGGATGATGAGTTCTAGTGCCCCATCTGTCCTGATCTTTCTATTTATTTAATCCGGAACTAAATTGACTCTTTCTAACTTTAATGAGGAGACTAATCATGTAAATCAGCTCATGATTTTTTTAAAAAGAGAGCCCATAAAAGGGATCTGGACAGTTTCCTGACAAGGAATGAAGGTAGACCGGGTCATGTAGGGGTTGTTTTGTTTTACTTATTGTTGTCCCGAGCTCATCCTGTAGTGGCAGATGATCCTGCCCTATAGAGAAGATTCCCTCATCTCCTCCCAAACCTTTCTGAGGCATGGCTGATCAACATGAGGCACGTGGAGCCGTTCAGATGGAATGAATCAGGGACTGACACTTTAGGGAGCCATTCTTGCATCTGGTCGATTGAAGTATTTGCTCAGCGGCTCTCTGCTGGGTCTCAGGACGAATTGAACTGGCTCTTAAAGATGCCCTGGCTTTGGAGATCGCACTTCAAACTCTTGTCTGCGGATCTTTGAAACCTTTGTATCAGTCATGCCACACGGACAGAGCACTGTCCCTGCTTTGATTTGGAGGTTCATTAATTTTCACACCAGGCCTTCAAAAACAGTGAGATCTGATGCAAAAAGGCGAGTCTCAGCCATCATCACGTCATTTAATTGCAAATAATGTGTATTCAGCCATTGTTTGGTTGGTTAAAGCTTTAACCTGTGACATCTTAAGTGCAAAGTGGCACAAGTGTTACCGTTAATTTGTTGTTAAATTATGGTGTTTAGTTATCCACTGTTTAACCTTTCAATGGTGTTTTGTTCACCTCTTTAATGATTTGCCTAAATCGTTTTGTAACAGTCCAAGGTGAAATGTATTTAGTTAAGTATCATGAAAAGCTATTAATGTTTTTTTACTTGCTACCACAAAGTCAGTCATCATCAGTGCTTTCTAAACAGAACTTAAAGTCTTCAAAGGCCTGACTTTTGAAGTTTCTGAGTGCATACCTTGTTTTGACTGGATACAGAATTGTTTTCCAGATGTTGAATAATACTTACTAATCTACCTTTTGTTAACCTGGTAGTTCAACTGATTGTGTTTTGAAAATAATATCATCAAGCTTATGGACTTCAAAATGTAACCATGTTATGTGATTCAGTTCTATTCACTTTGTAGACAAAATAAATTGACCTGTTTTGTCTATAAATTAGCCATATAAGTCCTTTGTTAAACAATGGTTAGGAGGCAGCATTATGAGAGTATGAGTTGTGCCAATGGTTGCTGCCTTTTAACAGTGGGTGAAGAAAGTGATGTGTATATTGTATGATATCTAGACCTAGTCATCTCTCTGATATTTTAGCTTCCTGTACAGTTTATTGACTATCTGTTCTCTTAGGAAATAAATGAAAGGGAGTGAGATTTGTTTTTATGAGTTTCTTTTTTGATGTAACACCAAACAAGGCTTCAGATTCAAACAAGGTTACATGAGAAAAGCTTTATTTAAAAGTACAAAACAAACACTGCAGACTTTGTACAGGAATAATTTACCACCTTAAATTTAGCCAGAATGGGAAAAAAAAACAAAAAAAAACAGAATGATTTCATTTGTACATGAGGGTAGTTAATTGAAAAGAAAACAAATGAATGTAAATAAAATAATTTAGATGATGAGAATAAAAAAAAACAAAATAAATATCAGAGATCAATGTGATACAAGCAGATTAATGAGAATCATGAATGTGATTAATCTAAGCCTAGTTTTTGCTGCCTTTCATGGTGTCCGTATTTACAATCGCTATTTTATATATATACCACGACAGTTACGCCCACGAGAACGATCAAAACAGGCAAATCTGTTCAACGTGGTTGCGTATGGAAATATGATTTTACAAAACAACCACACCCATTCATACAGTACTTAAATGATGACAAGCTCAATATTAAAGGCACTATTTTAACTACAAATAACAGGACTACTCCTAATACCTTACAGTTTCATCTTAACAATGACAAATATAAAGTAATAATTTGGAGCAGCATACTTTATATGTCATGGAGTTACTATAAGATTCTTATAGGCAAGTGTGTTTTAAAGAGCACTGGTTAAAATTCCTATGTGCGTTCATGGTAAATAGCTTTAAGGACTGATTGAGCACATATTATATACTTTGAAAAATAGATATATTCATATGTAAAATATAGAATAATTTATCCTATTCAGCCCAAAAGGCCACATACAGCATACATAGAATTAAAAAAACAAGTACCCATTTAGTTTAAAGACCATCTTCACCATCTAACTGTGTTAGGAGGAACGTTTACTGCACTAAACTGCTTCAAAACAGGGATATGTCCACAGGCCTCAGTCACAAGATGACCTGTAATGCCTCTGTCACTACTGATTTTGCTAACTGGCCAAAAAAACACTGGCAACCCTGTGAAATGACAGAATAGTTTTGTGACAGCATGTCCTGTTCTTATTAGTCTGAATTCGGGCATTGCGGTCTGGTTACTGGAGGGTGTAGTTTTGTTTAACTCACAATACAAAATCAAAGAATATGAAGTGTATTTTAAAGAAAGCACATAGATGGGTTATGGCTTTGGTGGCAGCTGAAATGAACACAAAGCAAAACAGCAATGCCTCAATAGTCCAAGAAATGAAAGAGCAGATCTTGGTGTCATCAGCATTCAATCACAGCATTTTGAAGAAGAAAAAAAGGAAATACAGATCACCACTAGATGTCAGTGTAAAGCACAGAAAAAGCTGTTTTGTCAAGTTCTCCTTTTGTCAAAAAAAGTATACTCTGCTGTCACTGTATAGTCTAATTCAATAAAGAAGAAGAAGTGACATGTAGCATTTCCTATCAAGGGAACTGAATTCTGATAAATTCTAATATTATGTAATGTATTAGGTAGCTTAGAGGGAACAAAAGTTGGCCACAACAATTTCTGGCCTTTTTTTTTTTCACCCTCTAAACGGATTTGTGGCCTGAAGGGAAAGCAGAGACAGCAATTTAAAATAAAAATAAAAACATACGACCAGAAAAGAGGACCTGCCAACCGGAACTGTGGTCACATTTAAAACAACTGCACAGGACAAAAAAAAAAAAAAAAAAAAAAAAAAAAAAAAAAATCACCAAACAATGGCAGATAAATGATGAATACTGAAATTACATGTTCCTAAAATATGCACTCTCAAAATAAAAATAGCATCTGAATGCAACCATTCACCATAAAAACGAATAGTGTGTTGAGTTCATAAACTGACATTATGTACATAAAAATGGAAAATGTCCTGGAAACGTTTAAACTATAGAGACGGTGGGAAACATCAGATCTAGATCATGTTTGGGCATAAGGAGACCTATATAAAAAAATGCTAAGAGCCCAACAGTAGCCCAGAGAGCTGGGGATATTAGTGGGCTTCCCAGTAGCACAACATCCCTCTAATGTCATAGCCACTTAGGTAAGAGACAATCCTGATTTCAGCCATCTTACATTTACGACAGATCAGTTTTACTGAATATGAATGCTAAGTTAATTTTTTTTGAACAGGTTTAAGGACACCAGGATTCTCCTTACCCAAGAGTGCGTCGAAATAACGAATATTTGCATTTTGTATACATTTTATCAGGGTTACCAACACCGGCAGTGGCACCTTTCGTGAGGAATGCTTTCTGAGCGGACGGAATTTCATATACACAGTTGGGAGCTTAAATTTGATGTTTGATTTTGATGTTAACTCAGTTCTGTAATATACAGGTTATTGTTAAACTTTTTTTTTTTTTTTTTTTTTTGCAAGACAGCTCCTGTTATCACTACATCCAATATGGATTACCTACCATTTTATGGTGTCGTATAGAGACAGGTCAGGGAAAACGGTGTATCTTTGTGATAACGGACAACACAGATGTGCCGGATAATCAACATTATACTGACTAACCTCGCATAAAACAAATATAATAACTTTTTTAATAAAACCCACCATGAAGTGCCCTTTTCTAGAAACTCAGTTAATCTGTAATTTCAGTCTTGAATATTTACATGTGTTAGTCTGCTTTGCAAGTGCTTCATACTAGTATTAGACTGTAATTCAACAGTAACAATAAGTGCAGTTTTCCCATTTGGGATTTGTATGTTTAAACTGCCGACTAAGAGAGGATTGGCTCGTTTCCAATTGGATAATTTTCTCTGTTTATCAGTAATGTAACGCTTCAGGATAAGGATTTTCCCTTGATGTCGATAACATCTACTGTGCTGGTCCAACACAGTCTCATGAAAGTGCGTATCTATACCACGAATGTTATTTCTTGTGTCATTTATACGCCAAAACTGTTTTTTTGCGTGCATATGCTACGCACTGAAAACCCTTGGGTAGGATTAGGGGGGTGGGGGATGCGTGCGTATTACACGCCATAAAGTGCGTATCATATGCACGCGAAAACTGCGTAGCATATGCACGCAAAAACCAGTTTTGGCGTATAAATGGCACGAGAAACGCCTGACTTTTGTCCAGGATCAGAAACACTGCTCTTTCACAATGACTGATATTATTTCATAGTGATGTATTATGAGATTATGCCAATGTATTTCATGATGCAAGATGACATCACATAATCTTTCTAAAAAAATTTTTTTTTTTTTTTAGTTTGTGGTCGGTAAGATTTTTTAATGTTTTTCAAAGAAGTCTCTTCTGCTCACCAAGGCTGCATTTATTTGATCAAAAATACAGTAAAAACTGTAATATTGTGAAATGTTCTCAACATTTTAAATAACTTTTCTACTGTAATATTTTTTTTTTCAGGATCCAGAATATAAAGTTCAAAAGAACAGCATTTATTTGAAATAGAAATATTTTGTAACATTATGGACGTCTTTAACTGTTACTTCCCATCAATTGAATGCATCCTTGCTGAATAAAAGTATTGATTTCTTCAAAAGAAAAAAATATATATCTTATAATGATACTAAATATTTATTTTAGTTTCTGATGCATTTGCAATATGTCACGGGGCATCAGTGCTGCCATGGCAGGTTAAGTCAAGTACTATCTCACACTTTAACAAGTGCTCATCTCTGCTAAATCTCAGCCTGTGTCGAAGTGGAAAGAGCGGTCAGTGCGCCCTGCCGGTGCCGGAGTTTATAGCA